TTTTGTACTTAAAGTTAAACTAAATGAAAATGAGAAATGTTTTCTTGGAATGTAGTTGAAATAAAAATAAGTTACATTTTTTATATATTTTAATTTTAATTTTGTTTCTAAATATTTGTAATTTATTTTGTTGTACACTATAATGTTTGATTTAGCTCTTAATAGTATATCAATATACTATAATATAGTATATCGATGATAAAATAGCAAATATCCCAAACATCCCAAAAATGTTTATTACAGTAATATTCATTCATTCATAATAGAATTGATTCGTTCATTCATTTATAACAGAATTTTATTTTCGTATTTATTTATTTATAATAGAATTACATTTTTATTTATTTATTCATTTATTTATTAATTAATTTATAATATAATTTTATTTATTTATTGTTTTAATTCATTTTTTATTTTCTCATTCATTTATAATAGAATTGTATGTATTTATTTATTATTTTTGTTTATTTTCTACTTATTCATTCATTCATTCATTCATATATTCATTCATAATAGAATGTATAATAATGGTAATAATGGTTCATAATAATGGTATTTTCAGGGCTGTTGTGTCTGATGGAGGCGAACAGACACTCTGACATTGATGGGCTGATGTGTTGCCATGGCAATGAACACGTGATGTCACTTCCCTTGTCTCAGTGGACTGTGGCGCTTTTATTTATTATTTTTTTGTCTTGTCAGACACGTCGGGCTTCTGTGAATGCAGGTTCAGTTCTGAGGACGATCAGTGCGGCTGAATGCCACTTTCATCTTTTCGCGTTTACTGACAGTTGAAGGATTTTTACAATTGACTGCGTTTATAGAATAAAAGACAGAAGATGATTTAGTTCCTATCCATCAAACACTTCCCTGTCCAACAGAGACCTTCAGATCCGATTCTCACAGGAACTACACTGTAGAAAGAGAGAGAGAGTGTGTGTGTGTGTGTGTGTGTGTGTGTGTGTGTGTGTGTGTGTGTGTGTGTGTGTGTGTGTGTGTGTGAGAGAGATTGAGTGATTGAGTGAGTGAGAGAGTGAGTGATTGAGAGAGAGAGAGTGAGTGAGTGAGTGAGTGAGTGAGTGAGAGAGAGAGAGTGAGTGAGAGAGTGAGTAAGTGAGAGAGTGAGTGATTGAGTGAGTGATTGAGTGAGTGAGAGAGTGAGTGATTGAGTGATTGAGTGAGTGATTGAGTGAGTGAGTGAGTGATTGAGTGAGTGAGTGATTGAGTGAGTGAGTGAGTGAGTGATTGAGTGAGTGATTGAGTGAGTGAGTGAGTGAGTGAGTGAGTGAGTGAGTGTTTGAGTGAGTGAGTGAGAGAGTGAGTGATTGAGTGAGTGATTGAGTGAGTGATTGAGTGAGTGAGTGAGTGAGTGAGTGAGTGAGTGAGTGAGTGAGTGAGTGAGTGATTGAGTGAGTGAGTGAGTGAGTGAGTGAGTGATTGAGTGAGTGAGTGAGTGAGTGAGTGAGTGAGTGAGTGAGTGAGTGAGTGAGTGTTTGAGTGAGTGAGTGAGTGAGTGAGTGAGTGAGTGATTGAGTGAGTGATTGAGTGAGTGAGTGAGTGAGTGAGTGAGTGAGTGAGTGAGTGAGTGATTGAGTGAGTGAGTGAGTGAGTGAGTGAGTGAGTGATTGAGTGAGTGAGTGAGTGAGTGAGTGAGTGATTGAGTGAGTGAGTGAGTGAGTGTTTGAGTGAGTGAGTGAGTGAGTGAGTGAGTGAGTGATTGAGTGATTGAGTGAGTGAGTGAGTGAGTGTTTGAGTGAGTGAGTGAGTGAGTGAGTGATTGAGTGAGTGAGTGATTGAGTGAGTGAGTGAGTGATTGAGTGAGTGAGTGATTGAGTGAGTGAGTGTTTGAGTGAGTGTGTGAGTGATTGAGTGAGTGAGTGATTGAGTGAGTGAGTGATTGAGTGAGTGAGTGAGTGATTGAGTGAGTGAGTGAGTGAGTGAGTGAGTGATTGAGTGATTGAGTGAGTGAGTGATTGAGTGAGTGAGTGATTGAGTGAGTGAGTGTTTGAGTGAGTGTGTGAGTGATTGAGTGAGTGAGTGATTGAGTGAGTGAGTGATTGAGTGAGTGAGTGAGTGATTGAGTGAGTGAGTGAGTGAGTGAGTGAGTGATTGAGTGATTGAGTGAGTGAGTGATTGAGTGAGTGAGTGATTGAGTGAGTGAGTGTTTGAGTGAGTGAGTGATTGAGTGAGTGAGTGAGTGAGTGAGTGATTGAGTGAGTGAGTGAGTGAGTGATTGAGTGAGTGAGTGATTGAGTGAGTGAGTGTTTGAGTGAGTGAGTGAGTGTGTGAGTGAGTGAGTGAGTGAGTGAGTGAGTGAGTGAGTGAGTGAGTGAGTGAGTGAGTGAGTGAGTGAGTGTGTGAGTGAGTGAGTGAGTGAGTGATTGAGTGAGTGATTGAGTGAGTGAGTGAGTGATTGAGTGAGTGAGTGATTGAGTGAGTGAGTGAGTGAGTGTGTGTGTGATTGAGTGAGTGAGTGAGTGAGTGTGTGAGTGAGTGAGTTAGTTTTAGTTCTCACACAGACTGAGCAGTGAAGGGGACGAGACTCCAGCCAGAAGCTCATGAAGTGATGTATGAATTGGGCTAAAAGTCTAGACCAGCGTCTCTGCCATCTGGTAATCTCACATGAGGGCCGTCTAGCGTTATAGAGTTGAGTTTCATTAGCATAACAGCAGTGCCTTTTGCTAACAGCGCTAACAGCCACCCAGAGATGCGTTAGCAAGCTGTTTATGAGACGGACAGCTGGAGTCTAATGCACTCGCGTTGGGTTTCACGCTTCTTCTCCATTACCGTAACAGCTATTCATTAGAGCTTGTTTCTGTTTCTGATAATGGCCTGGCATAACATCCATTATTAATAATACACACCCTGATATTGAGCAACTGTCCACAGAAATCCTTATTATTACGCGGCCTGTGAAATATTCTGTGTGAGGATACGGTGGGTCTTTCCCGGGTCGTGGATATCAAGCAAATCAGGCTCTTTAATTTTGAATGTTTGATGCAGGTTTGTACGTTTCTCATCTCTGCTTCCAGATATCAGATCAAAGCGCCGCATGCACTCTTTCAGTCGTACTACGTTCCTGTAGCTCAACCACTGACACTCTTTCAGTCGTACTACGTTCCTGTAGCTCAACCACTGACACTCTTTCAGTCGTACTACGTTCCTGTAGCTCAACCACTGACACTCTTTCAGTCGTACTACCTTCCTGTAGCTCAACCACTGACACTCTTTCAGTCGTACTACGTTCCTGTAGCTCAACCACTGACACTCTTTCAGTCGTACTACGTTCCTGTAGCTCAACCACTGACACTCTTTCAGTCGTACTACCTTCCTGTAGCTCAACCACTGACACTCTTTCAGTCGTACTACGTTCCTGTAGCTCAACCACTGACACTCTTTCAGTCGTACTACCTTCCTGTAGCTCAACCACTGACACTCTTTCAGTCGTACTACCTTCCTGTAGCTCAACCACTGACACTCTTTCAGTCGTACTACGTTCCTGTAGCTCAACCACTGACACTCTTTCAGTCTTTCAGATAAAGTGCTACAAAAATTGTGAAACGTGGCCCATTCTGTTCAGGAATTGTTCAAAACTTTTGTGTGACATTAGGATTATTTCTGTTGCTACCGCATGTGTTTTAATACTTCCGGGTTTGGGTTTTCTGTCGTAAACCTTTACACATATTGTAATATATGTTTGGGATGGATTCTGTAGTATCAGTTAGATTTATATGTGCTTGAATATTACAGCAAATCATCATATTAGAGTGATTGACACTGAAAACTGGAGTAATGATGCTGAAAATTCAGCTTTGATCACAGGAATAAATTACACTTTACTAGATATTCACATATTAATAATATATATATATATTACTCTTTTTGATCAAATAAATGCAGCCTTGGTGAGCAGGAGAGACTTCAAAATCATTAATTTTTTAATTATTCCAAACGTTAGACTGGTTTAATTAGGTGGACATTTTTTTAAGTGCATATAAACATCAAATATGATAAAAGGAAGCTCAAATGTACTTGCTTGATGCAATTTGTTTTTAAAGCATCAAAGTTTTGCACTTTCAAGGGATGGACAGAAATCTCTCAGGTTTCCTTAAACATATTTTAATTTGTGTTTCAAGATTCGAATGAAATAAGGGCAAGGACATTTTTGAATTTTTATTGTTGGATGAACTATACCATTAAGCAAATAAAATGCTTAAATGAAATGACAATAAAATAGAATATTTTTATGATCTTAACATTTAAACAATCTTCTCAGTATCAGGGTTATTAGATGTACTTTCTTTACGAACGTTTACTGAATAAAATAACATACAAAAACGTACTTATTTTTTCACATATTTCCATTTAGTTTAACTTGATGTATAAAAAACTATAGACATTTTTTTTTAAAGAAGAAGAAATAAAGTATTAAAAATGTCAAATACAACAAAATTACTAAATCTTTAACTAAAATGTAAATATCAAAATTAATTGAAAAGTAAAATAGTAATGACACTAAAATAACTGTATACAATCATAGACCTAGAGAATAAATGTTAGCATCAATTATCTGGTTATCAGGACATTACTAAGATTATCGAACAACTGCTAAACTATTTTGTACTTTTGAAATGCATTAATGTTTAGACGTTAGAGATATTGAGTTGGAAAATCCAACATCTGACCATAAAGCGCATATAAGATGTTGAAGTCGGTTTACTTTACTATCTTATATGGTTCCATTTTCTCCTTAAATCGTTTGGTCCTTGAGTTTTAAATGCTCAATGGTTTGGTTTTCGATCATTGGATATTGGTTTGGATATTGGATGTTGGTTTTGATCATTGGAAACCATTGGTTTGGATATTGATTTCATTTCCACGCAACAGCAACCACACGCATGCATAAACACACAACCGCCAGCGTTGACATCCTCAGCGACCCCGTCTACTACCTTTCTAGAGTCCCATATCAGTCCCTCCTCTGTTTTTCTCTTTCTTAGTTCCCCCGAACCTGACCGTGCCGCAGGGCAAGTCCCCGCTGGCGGTGCGGGAGGGTGAGACGGTGGAGCTGGAGTGCCTTGTTTCAGGGAAACCCAAGCCCATCATCCTGTGGTCGCGAGCGGATAAAGAAGTGCCCATGCCCGACGGTAGCATGCAGATGGAGAGCTACGACGGCGTGTTGCGGATCGTGAACGTGTCGCGCGAGATGAGCGGATCCTATCGCTGCCAGACCAGCCAGTTCAACGGCTTCAACGTCAAGCCCAGAGAGGCCGTGGTCGAGCTCATCGTGCAGTGTAAGTGCTGTTTTACTTTCACTTAGAGTTGAGTTTTCAATGTCAGAAACCTTCCATGGGAATTAACGGGAATAAACTAGAAATGGGCAAAATTGCACGCTAGCCTGTAACAGGGAACTTAGTTGAAAATATCTTGCAGCACAATCTTGCTTAAAGTGCCCCTGTACTGCTTTTTGGAATATTTCCTTTCATGCAGTGTGTAATATAGCTATTTTAATTTTATTTGGGGTTGAATTTTCAATATCAGAAACATATCAGAAACCTATATCAGAAATCATATCAGAAATCCGAATTAATGGGAATAAACTTGAAATTTGCAAAATTGCACATTAGCCTGTAACAGGGAACATAATTGTAGTTGAAAACATCTTGCAGCACAATCTTGCTTAAAGTGCCCCAATTATTTGAATTTTCACAGAGAAGTGGCGTTGTATGGGGATGGAGAAACCCACCCAAATTAGCTTCGGTCAAACAGGCGTATAATAATTTGGGTAAATGTGTAAGTTAGATTTATGCCTATTTTCCCACATCTTCATGGACACCACAATGATTTCCCTCGTGTGGTAATATTTTTCCTTGTAATCATGTATGGATGGCAAAAATGGGAACCGCTGCGTCTGTGTATGAGAGAGGCGAAGTGTGTGTGCATTGTGCACACGCTACATTATGGCCACGTTTGTTTGTATATGATACACTTTGTATAAATTACCCCAAATTTCCAATTTATTCCCTTTGATTTCCATTAAGTTTTTGGAATACTTGGAATATTTCCAAAAATCCTCAGTTTAATTTAGCTTTTCTAGTTTTCATGGTAATTTTAGTTCAATTTTTAGTAATTTCATTATGTCCTTTTGTCATGCTGTGTGGAAATTGATAAGCAATTAAATCATATTGCTAGTGATTATATTTAGGATTTTTCCGCAATTTTGACTAAAATCATCTAAAACATCTTTAATTCCTCATTGTTCGGTTGGATTGATGCTCCCCATGTACCTCATCATGCCTTTTTGTGCTTAATTGCTGCTTGCTGCTATATTTAACACTGAGATGGGCTGAACATTCAAGCACTACAGTTAGTAATGTTTTTCTTTTGGACAAATAAACAAGTTTTTACAGGCTGTGTTTTGAATCTCACCCTGAATAAACCTCAAGACACCTCACATAATCTCATCCATTAAAACTTGAAAATTAAACCGCCACGTTATGAGTCACATCAGCTCTTTCCATTTTCTCAGAAGATCAATGTGTGTTTTGAGAAACTGGCTTTCAAGAGCACATACTGTATGTCTGAAAGGCTGCTTCTCGAGGAGGAGGAACTGGAGAGTCTCAGCGAACTCCACTTCAGACGGCATTACTCCAGCTGAAGGCAGCGACGCTCTTCAGGGAATAACAGATAGCAGCCGGGCTGATCCGACAGGAGTGAGGCAGCTGTATGCATAAAAAAACAAAAACATTTTAACTCTAAGGGTACCCACTAAACATAGACGTGCAGATCATGTCTATATTTGGTCCGTCGGTCCATCTATTTGACGTCCAAACTAGGTCCACTATTTGGATGTCCAACCATGACCCAACTTGGACGTCATCTTGACGTTCAACATTTGACCTTTGAACTGGGTCATTTTTTTTGGACGTCATTTGGACGTCTATGACAGGTGCAGGAAATTGACATGATTAATATGCAATATTTTTTATTTACAAATCTCAACATTGTTGTTATCAACATGATTAATACATATGAATACAGATTATTTATAATTATTTACTCCAAAAACTCCCATGATTGTCTCGGCAGCAGCTGATAACTGGAGACGCACACACAGCTGTAATGCTGGAGCTCGAACAGTAGCGCTGGCGCTCGCAACGCCAAGATCATGGGTTCGATTCCCAGGGAAAGCAAGAACTGATAGGAGTGTAAATGTGTAATGGAATGTAAGTCACTTTGGATAAAAGCGTCTGCCGAATGCATAAATGTAAATACATGGTACAGAAAACATGTCCTCCACCCTTTTGAAACATGGGACTACAGTTATAGAAGTTGTATAAAAACAACGTCTAAAATTAGTCTAAAGTCCTCCGTCATTGTGTTTGTGGTGTGAAATCACGCTGAGAGATAAAGTGTCTCTGGTGCGCCATTGAGGAGGAAGTGTGAATGCGATGAGAATGGCTTTGCTTGAGTGTTAATGCATTACGCTTGTATGTTCTTCATGCTGCACTGCACACTCAGAATGCATCTCTATTGTTTTCATGATGTGTCGAAGGACGAAAGAGAAGTGTGTGCAGTTTTTTGTGGAATCTGGGTTTTGCCGAGCAGTTTTGTCAAATTATTTTTTAATTTCAGAGATTCAGTGCAGTGATGCTGCATAAGGATTCATGACTAGACTGTACTTAGCGTACTGCACGCTTGTGAGTGTGTGTGTGTGTGTGTGTGTGTGTTAGGGTTTAACCAACTGTGCTGTGCCGCTACTAACTAAATGAATCATCACTTACAGTAATAATTTTCACAAACATCCCAGCGAGTCATTATACTATGGAAGCTTGTTTCTGCCATGCAATAAAAAAATTACATAAGGTAAGGTATGGGGTTACAGTATGTGGTTGCTAGGGTGTTCTGAGTGTGTTTTAGAATGTTGCTACAGTATGTGGTTGCTAGGGTGTGCTGAGTGTGTTTTAGAATGATGCTACAGTATGTGGTTGCTAGGGTGTTTCGGGATTTTTTAGAATGTTGCTACAGTGTGTGGTTGCTAGGGTGTTCTGGGTGTGTTTTAGAATGTTGCTACAGTGTGTGGTTGCTAGGGTGTTCTGGGTGTGTTTTAGAATGTTGCTACAGTGTGTGGTTGCTAGGGTGTTCTGAGTATGTTTTAGAATGTTGCTACAGTATGTGGTTGCTAGGGTGTTCTGAGTGGTCTTTAGAATGTTGCTACAGTGTGTGGTTGCTAGGGTGTTCTGGGTGTGTTTTAGAATGTTGCTAAAGTGTGTGGTTGCTAGGGTGTTCTGAGTGTGTTTTAGAATGTTGCTACAGTATGTGGTTGCAAGGGTGTTCTCAGTGTGTTTTAGAATGTTGCTAGTGTGTGGTTGCTAGGGTGTTCTGAGTGTGTTTTAGAATGTTGCTACAGTGTGTGGTTGCTAGGGTGTTCTGAGTATGTTTTAGAATGTTGCTACAGTATGTGGTTGCTAGGGTGTTCTGAGTGTGTTTTAGAATGTTGCTACAGTGTGTGGTTGCTAGGGTGTTCTGAGTGTGTTTTAGAATGTTGCTACAGTGTGTGGTTGCTAGGGTGTTCTGAGTGTGTTTTAGAATGTTGCTACAGTACGTGGTTGCTAGGGTGTTCTGAGTGTGTTTTAGAATGTTGCTACAGTATGTGGTTGCAAGGGTGTTCTGAGTTTGTTTTAGATTGTTGCTACAGTGTGTGGTTGCTAGGGTGTTCTGAGTGTGTTTTAGAATGTTGCTACAGTGTGTGGTTGCTAGGGTGTTCTGAGTGTGTTTTAGAATGTTGCTACAGTATGTGGTTTGCTAGGGTGTTCTGAGTTTGTTTTAGAATGTTGCTACAGTGTGTGGTTGCTAGGGTGTTCTGAGTGTGTTTTAGAATGTTGCTACAGTGTGTGGTTGCTAGGGTGTTCTGAGTGTGTTTTAGAATGTTGCTACAGTGTGTGGTTGCTAGGGTGTTCTGAGTGTGTTTTTGAATGTTGCTACAGTATGTGGTTGCTAGGGTGTTCTGAGTGTGTTTTAGAATGTTGTTACAGTATGTGGTTGCTAGGGTGTTTTGGGATTTTTTAGAATGTTGCTACAGTGTTTTAGAATGTTGCTACAGTATGTAGTTGCTAGGGTGTTCTGAGTGTCTTATTTTATAATGTTGCTACAGGATGTGGTTGCGAGGATGTTCTGAGTGTGTTTTATAATGTTGCTACAGTGTGTGGTTGTTTCGGGTGTTTTGAGTGTGTTTTAGAATGTTGCTAGAGTATGTGGTTGCTAGGGTATTCTGAGTGTTTTTAGAATGCTGTTACAGTATGTAGTTTTTAGGGTGTTCTGGGTGTTTTTAGAATGTTGCGACAGTATGTGGTTGCTAGGGTATTTGAGGATTTTTAGAATGCTGTTACAGTATGTGGTTGCTACGGTTTTTAATGTGTTTTTTAGAATGTTGCTACAGTATGTGGTTGCTAGGGTGTTCTGGGTGTGTTATAGAATGTTGCTACAGTATGTAGTTGCTAGGGTGTTCTGAGTATTTTTTAGAATGTTGCTACAGTATGTGGTTGCGAGGGTGTTCTGTTTAAAAAAAATGTTGCTACAGTGTCTGGTTGCTAGGGTGTTCTGAGTGTGTTTTAGAATGTTGCTACAGTATGTGGTTGCTAGGATTTTTTAATGTGTCTTTTTTTAGGGTTGTCAAACAATTAATCACGATTAATCGCATCCAAAATAAAAGTTTGTGTTTACATAATATATGTGTGTGTACTGTGTATAATTATTTTTAATACATAAATACCCACACATGCATGTGTATTTAAGAAATATTTGCATGTATATACTGTATATAGACTGAATGTAGCCTATATATAATGTATATTTTATATAAATATAAACATTTTATAAATAAATAACATATTTTTTCTGAAATATATACGTGTGTGCATTTATATACAAAATAATTATGTACAGTACACACACATATATTATGTAAACACAAACTTTTTTTTTGGATGCGATTAATCGCAATTGATCTTTTGACAGCCCTAGTTTTTTTAGAATGTTGCTACAGTGTGTGGTTGCTAGGGTGTTCTGAGTTTTTTTTTAGAATGTTGTTACAGTATGTGGTTGCTAGGGTATTCTGAGTGTTTTTAGAATGCTGTTACAGTATGTAGTTTCTATGGTGTTCTGGGTGTTTTTAGAATGTTGCCACAGTATGTGGTTACTAGGGTATTTGAGTGTTTTTAGAATGCTGTTACAGTATGTGGTTGCTATGGTTTTTTAATGTGTTTTTTTAGAATGTTGCTACAGTATGTAGTTG